ATATTTTATTAATAATGACAGGTTTATAGAACCTAATTAATTAATTAGTTAAAATGTAATTCGCTTTTTATAAATGGCTCTTAGTATACAAGTGATTAAAATAAGTGTAAATAATAAAATAACAATTAAGAAATTTGTTTAATTCAAAAATATTTTCTATTTTTAAATTTCGATTTTGTGCTGTTGAGTTTTACAGGTGTCTTTTAAGAGTTCGCGGCACTGTTAATAGAGTTCTTAAATTAATTACCGACGGTAGTAGAATAGTTATGTCTTTCATTTATCTTGGGTTATAGAGTCATTAATTTTTCTGAATGATAGGTAATTATAATCTAATGCACATACGAAATTGTTTCACTTCCGGTTATTTTTTCTAAACTAAAAGAATTCTTAAGTAATAACAAAATACATAAATATTTACTTCAAACACATTTATAAATTTGCTACAGTAATTTGAAATTGTTTTGAGAATAATTGGTTTAGTTTCTTTCTAATATAACTTTTTAATTATCTTATTAATTTGTACAGGAAATTAATGATTTAAAAATGCATTTGGACTAAATTACTTAAGCATCACATTTGTACTCAAATGCTAGTTACTATAGAATTTATCTGAAAACCAGTAACAAACGTAGTTTTTATTTTAAACAGTAGGTAGCTATAACAAACTACGTTTAAAAATAAGATAGTAATAAGTAATAAGTAGTAATAAGTAATAGTGAGTAATTATGATTAAAAATAGCAGAACTTTAGCATATGAGAAATGACAAATGACTTATTTTAATTTATTTTAATACTTTGAAAAATGTGAATCAAAGTAAAGTATAAGATATTTCTTATACCCTCAGGAACCCTCGCCGATGTGATAAGATTTAAACAGCAGATAAAAATTAAGTCTATAAAATTAAGAGAAAAATTAATATTTCTACTAAATTAGAATAATAAAGCTTTAATTACAGATTTGGTCGTTTCACATCAAGCAAAAAATGTTTTTTCTTTGCAGTTGTGGCGTAAAATTAAAGATATTCAATTCGGGGACATACTGTATTTTGTTTTCAGTTCATCAAAAAAAACAAATTATTACAATAATAGAAGTCATTTGGAACATTTTAAAAATTATGATTAACTAACTTTTTTTTTCATGTAAGATTTAATTTGTAAAAAATCATCAGTAATAATGCTGAATGCGGAATGGTTGTAGGTAAAACTGCAGAAAACCTATTTATTTTTAAAAATTTTTTGTAATATTGGGAAAACTCGAGAGAAACCTACAAATCTGAAAAGCATATTATTTAAATTTACTAAGAAACGAGATAGTAATAAATAAAACATTTATTTCGACTGTAAAATTTGAATAACAATTTTGAAATTACGGTACTTGATTAAAGAAACACTGATATATTTGCCGTTTCCCACATAATTTCCCAATTACATCTACCCGAACGAATTAGTAACCATTTAACCTGGCACAGCCCAAGACAAATTTATGCTACAAATATGCTTCGTAATCTCCAACTCGGAGGAGAGATGATCAGATATCAAACTGAATAATTTTTAGTTACTGTAATCACACCTGGTATTCTTCAAAAATAACGCATACCTAAGTAAGATTTAACGCTTTTGTTTCCTCATTTCTACTATTTTTCAATTAAAACGTTATTTTTTCTATGTAATTGTCACTTATCACTAAACGAGTGGAACAAAACGTGACGACCGGTAAATCAAAATGATCCATCTGATTGAGAAACTTAGATATTTAGTGTATTGTTGGTCGAAAATGCATCGTCGAGTCCGAGGATCCGGTTAGCTCCGGGTACGTTAAACTCAATTAAAAAGGACGAAATTCAAATGATGCCAAGCATAACGAGTCACATCATCACCTGAGAGATGCCGTGTGTGAATAAAGACTGGCATCATCAACAGGTTGTTAGAGTGTTGTGGGCGTGGCCGGACCACAAAACGACGCTTTGTGTCATTCAATCATCAAATTAATCCATTGAGAGCGTAACTCGGCAGCTATATACTTGTAAACATCATCTACTGGACCTCTGGCACTCATCATCCAATTCTTTTTCGTGATGGACAGCGACCGAATGCCTAATTGAAGCTGAATTGACGGACACGAACAAGAGATTAGGTCGCTGGAGGAATGTGTTCGTGGAATAGATACGAATAATCGAAATCAAAATAAACACCAAAATAAGCGTTGACTGCTATCTCTTCACATTTTGCTGAAGTATTTGAGAGGCAATAATGACGACTCATTTTTTGATTCGACTTTGTAGCTAGTAATATTTTTTTATGGGTTGTTTCAAATAAGAGTATTTACCAACAAACTACACTGGCCCCCAAAATTAACTGGACAACTAAAATTTTGCGATTTTTTACATTGCAATATTTTTGTTATTCTTTGTCGGATTTCGACGACTATTTGTTCGGCTTAAAAAATGAACTTTACAGAACATTGTATTTTAATTCAATAACATTTCTAGTTTTGCCTTGTCAATGTTATACCTAAAAGACGAAAGTACCTACTGTTTTTTTACTTTTTTTATACCAGATGTAGTGTGCAAAAGAGACAAAATTAAGTTTTTACTTATTTTAGTTAATTGCACGTTTTTTTCTGAATGAAGACCAATTTGTTTCAAAATTTTATCTTTTGGTGCCCCAGAGATACAAAGCATTGTCTACAAGGTAGTTAAACCGAAAATTATTGTTTATGTCACCAAAAGAGCATAATTACGTCTCTGAACACAAAAAATCTAAAAAACTTGGAACCTTAAGGGATAACAACAAGTAAAACGGTTAATTATTGGAAGCTTCCATGCGCCTACTTTGATGTTTTGGCACATTCGGCCTACTTAATACAAACATTCATCGAAATTCAAAATGTAATGCTTTTTTTGAAGGTTTATATCTTTCATGTCTCAAGGATTAAAATTATGGAAAATGTGGTCCCTAAATAATTTAGAAT